TACTATATAATAAAAGCTCAGCGACCGAACGGCGAACAACTGGTCAACCAGTCGCTATGATGCACACTGACCACCAGGGGGCAGACTCTCAACACAGGAGCTGCTCCTGGTGGTTAGTGTGCTCCCACGGAGGGGGTACTACTCAGCCAGAAGCCGGGGTCAGTGAGCATAGCGACAGTGGCAGGAGCCTCTCCTGCCTCTGCAGCAGCGCTAAGGAGCAGTGAGCCAAGAGGTAGGGAGCAGCAAGCAGGCAGGTGGTAAGGAGCAAGAGGGCACAGGAGAGGCTGAGGGACCCCCAGTGCATGAATTTTGCACACCAGGCCTCTAGTTGTAAATAATGCTGCAATGAGCATAGAGGTGCATATATTCTTTCAAAATAGTATTTCAGGTTTCTTTAGATTTATTCCCAGAAGTGAAATCTCAGGGTCATAGGCAGTCTCATTTTTAATTTTCTGAGGTAAGTCCATACTGCTTTCTACAGTGGCTGCACCAATCTGCATTCACACTAACAGTGCACAAGGGTTCCCTTTTCTCTACATCAGCACCAACACTTGTTTGTTGATTTATTGGTGATAGCCATTCTGACAGTGTGAGGTAATATCTCATTATGGTTTTAATTTGCATTTCTCTGATGATTAATGACATTGAATATCTTTTCACATGGTTATCTGTATGTCCTCTTCGGAGAAGTGTCTATTTAGGTCTTTTGTCCATTTTTTAAATTGCGTTGTTTGTCTTTCTTTTATTGAGTTATATAAATAATTGATATATTTTGGATAGCAACCCCTTATCAGATGTATCATTGGTGAATATGTTCTCCCATTCAGTGGGTTGTCCTTTCATTTTGTTGATGAATTCCTATGCTGTGCAAAAACTCTTTAGTTTGATGTAGTCTTATTTGTTTATTTTTTCTTTTGTTTTTCTTGCCTGAAAAGGGAAAAATATTGCTACAAGAAGTGTCTGGGAATTTACTGCCTGTTTTCTTCTAGGATTTTTATGGTTTGGGGAAGCTAACATTTAAGTGTTTAATCCATTTTGAGTTTATTCTTGTGTGTAGTATACTAGTAAGAAGGTGGCCTAGTTTCATTTTTTAGCACATATCCGTCCAATTTTTCCCAACAACATTTATTAAATATATTATCTTTACTCCATTGTATGTTTTTGCCTCCTTTGTCAAATATTAATTGACTATAAAGGCATAAATTTATTTCTGGGTTCTCTATTCTGTTCCCTTGATCTACATGTCTGTGTTTTATGTTAGTACCATGCTGTTTTGATACTATGGCCTTGCAGTATAGTTGATGTAAGGTAGTGTGATTCCTCCAACTTTGTTCTTCTTTCTAAAGATCAAGGTTGCTATTCGGGGTCTTTTGTAATTCCATATAAATTTTGGAATATTTTTTCTAGTTCTGTGAAATATGCCATTGGTATTTTGATAGGAATTGCATTGAATTTGTAGATGGCTTGACTGGGAGTCATATCAATTTTAAAATAATGATTGGTGGAGCCTTAAGACTATCTAACTCTCTGAAATAATAAATACTTATAGGATGTTTTCCAATTTATAAAGCACTGACACAAGTTATCTTTTGTTTCCCCAACAAATCTGTTTTACAAAATAAGTATTATTGCTTATTTTATAGAAGAGAAAACTGAGGTTCAGAGGGGTAAATAGGTTTGCTCAAAATCACACACTGGCAATGGCAGAGTTGGGATCTAACCAAGGTCTTCAAGAGACCTACCCAATCCTCCCTCTATCCCATACCACTCCCTCCAGCAAGTCTCAAAATACTAACAGTAGAAACAGAGCAATGCCTAAAATAGCACCCAGTGAGGGAGGTCAGGGATGGCTACAGATGTGTTCTTCCAACTCACTCAAATTTGATTAATAGAAAAGTCCTCATTACCTCACATCTCACCTTAGTGGTTCCCCTATTGAAATTCCTGTTTTGTATTTCTGCCTTTCTGGTTTATGGTACAAGCAGAAACACTATCCCTAACTAATCACAGTGGATATATCCTACTCCATTAGCTGTGGTTTTGTGCTGCTGATAGGAAAAAAAAAAAGATTAGGGTTATATTCCCTACTGCCCCACTCTTTACTAATACTTCTGTTTACATACTAGTATAGTGCTGCAAAACCCTGCCTATAATGCTGGTGAGAAATAGGGATCTTTATTAAAAAAGCATTTTACTTACCAGACCTAAGTTAAATGCTGACTCACTACTATCTAGTCATGAACTTACACTATATTCAATTATCCAAGCTTGAATGTATTCATCTGCCAATCCGGAATCATACCATCTACTGGAAGAGTAAGAATTAAGTAAAAGAGCTTAGTTCCTGACAAAGAATAGGTCCTTGGTAAGTATTAGGCCAACCCCCTTTCTAGAAATTTTCACTCTTCTTTATACTGCTGCACATAGAAACCAGCAAATTCCCAGTGACCCTGTGATACCTAAGAGTGTTTGTACCTCACAGATAATCAATGGTGCCAAGAGAGCCAAAATGGGACCAAGGCTGAAGAATAAGGCCAGCTGAATGAAATAATGAAAGGAGATTGTAATCATGGCACACCACACAGCTGTGTTTGCTTCTTTTATCTCCAAAAGTAAGTTCATTATCAACATTTGGAGTAAATGTCTGTTACTCCAAACATTTTTTTACTCTGGGGTTAACAACTGCTGTTCTATCTTTAACAAAGGCCAAATGGAAGTCTTAAACAAGTTACAGTAATTGGCAATTTGATTGGAAATAAAGAGAAAATGGCTCCTACTTTCAAGTAAAAAAGAGTGAAGAAATCTGATAGCTACTTATCTGGATGGGACAGAGCAGTACTGTTTCTCCTATTCTTGAAGCAGACTAGTTCTTTGGCAAGCATTTCCCACAGGAAGCACTTACCCAGTCTCTGCAATGATTTCTGGAGCCACATATGTTGGAGTGCCACAGACTGTGTACAGGGGACCATCCACAATGGTAGCCAGTCCAAAGTCACCCAGCTTCAGTGATTTGCTGCCATCTTGGTGTTCATACACCTAACATGAAAGTAAAAAGTGAAATCCCCTTAACCAAGAGCTCAGAATCTCTTCCCTGAAGAAATGAGGAGCATTGTGGTTTAAATTGAATGTATTTATGATAAAAACTTCAGATAATTATGCAAGGATATACATATGAGGATATCTTTCTTTAGATTACTGCCAAATTAGAAACATGCTGAATAACCAGCAAATGGAAATCTGTTAAATAAATTATGACACATTTATACAATAAAATGCTCTACGGCCAACAAAAAGGTGACGTAAATTTATTGAAATGAACTATGTTTGGAAGTGAGGATAGAAGATTTCAGATTGGTTTGCATTAAATGTCTATTAAAGAAAAAATAAGGGCAAAGGAAAATGAGAGACCATGGTGTGTCTGAATCTGGGTAGTAAAATTATGGGAGTTGGCTTTTTTTGTTTTTGTTTGCTTATCTGAATCTGATGTTTCTACAATTAAAGCTGATTTGCATAATACAATGAAATATAGAAAGTCTCTAGTGAAGTATCTCCAATTTCTGAAAATAATTACCTTTCTTTTAATGTAAGAAGCTTTAAAAATGCAATTCTTTAGTAATTGAACAGAAAGTTCTACATGTGTATTAAAATACTTTATTTTTTAAAGTAAGTAACTGAAAGGGATATTAATATTTCATTTCACCTGTGGCAATTTGGAAAGATTTATCAAGTGTGGAGTCAGCATTCTGCCCAGGTTTCCTTATTAAGGCAGTAAAAGTCTCCAGATTTTCATCCCACAAAATAAGAGAAAGGTGCATATGACCATAGGCAAGTATTTACACTGATTTAGTTCTTGCCCAGGATCAAACCAAATGGATCTGCTCTAAAATGTCTCCCAGGCCTGTTTGGTTTGGCTCAGTGGACAGAGTGTCGGCCTGAGGACTGAAGGGTTCCAGGTTTGATTCCCAGTCAGAGCACATGCCCGGGTTGCAGGCTCGATCCTCAGTATAGGGTGTGCCGGAGACAGCCAATCAATGATTCTCTCCCATCATTGATGTTTCTATGTCTCTCTCCTTCTCCCTTCCTCTCTGAAATCAATAAAAATATATTTTAAAAAGGCTCCCAAACACTGTCTATTATTTCATAGAAAATATCAAAAGGTATTCAGAATTCTGACTCAGTGCCCACATTGAAGTCAATAAGATAAAGAAAATAATAGTAAAAGACTAATATTCCCAGCAAAGGCAGGAGATGCTTCAAGGACATGGAGAAGTTTTCCTTGTATATCAAAATAATTATTCCAGTGAGTTGAGGTCTACATGTTCTTCTGTTATCGATCTATGATCATGTGTACTTGCTCCAGTAGTTTGAACCTCTCCAACAGGAGGCACATCTCCACACATCAGACGTGCTGTTTCATTCCCACATCATGTCTGCCTTTTGGAAAAAGTAGATTAACTTTTCATTTCACTGCAGCAGAAAGTGCAGATGTTTGGCTAGCTAAGCTTCATGATCAACAATAAAAATTTGTATCTGTTTTGGCAGAGTCAGATAATCAGATCCTCCTCTCTGGAGATACTGCATCTTTTCTGGGCAGAAAAATATTATTTTATTTTTTTCTCTACACTCCACACTGGGAACATGGAGTTCTCTCCCTAAGGGCATGACTATGGTCAAATAGAAGCTGCCCTTGTGCAGGTGCCCAGAGGCTTCACCAGCACTTGGGTTGTTAGGATAAGGACAGCTGTATGTACTTAACAGATGTGGCTTTGCCCAGTTGTTATCAGGGATGGACTATCCTCCCTTACTTTGACAAAGCAGCTGTCCATCCCTGGTCAGCACAAACAAGATTGAGTTATGAACTTTAAGCTTTCAGAGCTGCAAAGTACAATATCATCCGCAGACTGAATGAATGCTCTTAAGCAAAAAATGTTGTACTTCGAAAAAAAAAAAAAAAAAAAAAAAAAAAATCCCTAAATTGTAGTCTTAGCATGTTAGCCATTCTTGCTATCCAGTGATAAGCAAATGTTTTTCATGAAAAGAAATCTAATATGAAAACATCAAGTAGATCATTAGGTTTTTTTCCCAGAAAGAGACACATTTTTTTACTTCCTTAATTTCATTTTGTTAACAATAACATTTCTAAAAGGCAAAGTAATCTCTTGCTTAGATGTTCTGTTAGGTCAGATTTCAATTTTCACACCACCATTTACACAGGAATCTTGTGTTTTTTTTCTAAACATACTATCTACAATCACCTAACTTGATTCAAAAAGTTGGACGAAAGCAGATGTTGGCAGATCTAGTCATAAGTTACATTTTAGTTCTGAATATGATTATGTAATTCTCTTTGTTATTATTTTTAATCCTCATCCAAAGATATGTTTTTATTGATTTTGAGAGAGAAAGAAAGGGAGAGAGAGACACAGAAAAAGAAATATTAATGCGAGAAACATTGATCAGTTGCCTCCTGCATGCTCCCTGACCAGGGATCGAACCTGCCACCTAGATACGTGCCCTAACCGGGAATCAAACCTGCAACCTTTTGGTGTACAGGATGATGCTCCAGCCACCTGAGCCATTTGGCTAAGTTACCATATAATTCTCTTACATGAAGCAAGGTTAGGTTTTATTTTTGAACAACTACATTTTGATAGGAATTCTATCTTACATATAGCAATATGCCAAATATATTAATATAGCTGAACAATCAAATTCAAAGTTTTAATAACTAAGATATAAAACAAAAAACTTACCTAAAATAAAAAATGAGGATTACCTAAAGTAACAATACTTCTTAAGTAAACAATACAATTTTAATGCAATACCTAGAATTAAATGATGTTCTTTTTTCCTCTCTTTAATCACCTTTACAATGTTCACCTTTTTTTGTTTATTTTGGAAACTGAATAGTAGAACTTTTATGAACATAAAGAGGTTACCGTGGAGCTTATAAGGGAAGTAAGAGCTTAGAAATGAAGGCCTAATGCATTTAATTGAAAACATTTGTAGATGCAAGTACATTGGAAATTATTTAGGAAAAAATATTTTTGCAGGTCAATAAGTGTCCAGGCATCTAGGTTAGAATTCTGTTTAACTTACTTACTGTAAGGCAGGGCAGGAAACAAGATTGCTCTGCTCTGTCAACACCTTGAGAGAAGGATTTAGAAGAATATATTCTAGGTTACCGCACCTCCAATGGGAGAGTGCCTCTTCTAAGTGGTTATAAGGAGCCCAGCTCACAACTGGGACTCACCATTAGCGCCTATGCTCACCTTTGTCTCTTCCTAAGCCAATTACAGAGGGGCATGAGCGAGGCCATTTAAAAACTAAAACTCTATTAAAATTACAGATTGCTAAATACATCTATTTCAAACATGTATGTACACACACACACACACACACACACACACACACACACATACACTCACAAAAGCATCTCCAGGAAGTATTTTCCCAAATGGAAGCTATAAATTCACTTTAAACTACATTTTTAATTAAAAGTTAGGAATCAGCAAAGCTTCTAAGAAGTTCACATTTAAAATGCTGAGACCTTGGCTTATACCACTCTCCAAGTCGATTCTGACTTTGTTCTTCATGCCTCTTCATCCTGACCATCTTCCAGAAAGGACATCAAAGGCTGCAAGCATAGGTTTGGACAGCCTGTTTCAGCAAGTGGGGTTCTAGTATAAGAACTTTTGCTAAAACTGTATTTTGAAGACTTCATAAAACATGACTCACTCATGAAGTGGGAGTATATTAACTGTCAATCAAAGAGTATTCACAACATGATATATAATTTAATGTTCATCCCAGGCCTTTAAATACTATAGATGTTTTCCTACATTTTAAACACCAAGGGCCTATTAAAGAGATGAGGATTAGTGCAAATTATCCAGCATGTAGTGCTTTCACTGTTTAAATGAAGCAATAAAACTGTGTAGTTGTACAACACTAATTGAATGCAGCTACACATAATTGTGGACTGCCATATGCAGCCTATTACAATACAGACTGTCAGTATTTTGTAAGCTACTCTTGTGATCATTGCAAATGGCTACAGTCAGAGAATTTGTTCTCTAGGGCTTATTATATAGCTATCAAGACATCCCATTATTTGACAGACTAAATGTGCTAAATGGCAACAATTAAGAAAAAGGTTCCATTTACAAGCTGAAGGCATCTTCTACCAAGACTAGGTATAGTGAAAGGTCAGGTATTAGGTTCTTGGCATACTGATATTTTACACAAGATTTTTCTTCTTTAAAGAAGAGTTTTATTTTTGTTTCTTTTTCATTTATGTGGGGTTTTCCAGGAGCTGTAACTTCCTGAACAGTAGATGTTTGGGCATATGTCTGATTTCCCATGAATTAAAAACTGACACTATTTGGAAAAGTTATTTGAAAAAGTAAAAAAGTAATATGTCATAAAATGGAGCCAGTGGCAATAAAATATGAAAGTTCACAGAAAATCTGAACTTGGTCAAATGGTCTCTTTTTAAAAAAAATTATCTTTAGTGTTGAAAGTATTACAGATGTCCCCTTTTGTCCCCACATTGATCCTTTCCACCCTAATCCCCACCTCCCCAGGCCTTCACTGCACTATTGTCCATGTCCATGGGGGTATGCATTAATTTCTATGGTTAATCTCTTCCAGTCTCCTGCCCCACCCCACCCTGTCACCTCCCTCTGAAATGTGTCAGTCTGTTGTATACTTCAATGTTTCTGGGTCTATTTTGTTTGCCAGTTTATTGTGTTCATTAGATTCCACACATGAGTGAGATCATGTGACACTTGTCTTTCTCTGACTGGCTTATTTCACTTATCGTAATACTCTCCAGATCCTACCACATTGTCTCAAAGAGTATGAGATCCTTTTTTATTTATTGTTGCATAGTATTCCAATGTGTGAATGTACCTGTTTTTCTTATCCATTCATCTACTGATGGGAACTTGGCCTGTTTCCAGATCTTCACTATTGTAAATAATGGTGCTATGAATAAAGGGGTGCATATATTCCTTCTAATTGGTGTTTCAGGC